GTTATGGATAACTTCTTTGAACTTCCTTTTTCATTGGTAAAATGGGGCTGAGACCTACTTTGAATTGTTAGTGTGAAGAACACTATAGGTAGAGCCCTCAATGGAACAGTACAAAGCAAGAGTTCCATAAATGGGATTTCATATTCATTGCAGACAGCTTCTCCAAGTGCATACATATAGCCCAGACTGGTGCCACACTTGCTATGTAACTGATGATGACCTTGAACTTCATATCCTCCTGCTTCTACCTCCCTTTCATGGCATTGAAAGCATGAGCCACCACACTTACTTATGTGGTGCAGGGTATCAATACCAGGGTTTTGTGCATATTAGGCAAACACTCTACCAACTGAACTACAAGTCCAGCTGAAGCAAGACTCATGAGCTACATCATGCTTATGTAGAAGAAGGTCTCAATTTTTCTATTATAATATTGTTCATATGACTTTTCATTTGATAAATATTTATTGGGCAAATACTATGTATGTGTCAGCTACTATTGTAAGTAATTAGGATACAGTGAAAAAAAATGGGAATTACTGTTTTCATGGTGAATGTATTCCAGTTAGAGGAAAAGACAGTGATCACAGTGGCCGGCTAGCTACTAAGTTATTCTGTATGTTAGAGGAGAGAATGATTAGGCTTTACTGAGATGGGGTGGTAGAACTAGAGAAAAGGGACAAATAGGTCATCTGGGTTTCTGGAGAAATAAGTTTCAAAGATCACTTGAATCAGTGGTTGAAGATGACATTTTTGGTTATATTTTTTCAACATAAAGATAATATAAAAACTGAATAAAATTCCACATTTAATGTATTATTATTCTCTTGACAGAGCAACATAAATTTTTCCTCATAGATATTTTTCTACATTTATTCATATTTAGTCATACTTAAGTTATAGTGTACCCCAAAGTCTGTTTTTCACTAGAGCTCTTTTCCATGTTGTTTCTTAGTTTTATAATAATTTTATTTATTATTTTTACGTGGTGGCGCCATGTTAAGAAAAACTAACTCTTGGAGTTGTTCAACCAAGAATGAGCCTGATCTGTTCTGAAATGCTCTGATTTCTCACAGAAGTTATCTTAGAACTGTTCATCCACCTAACAAAGTTCATCCTTACTTTTTATTGAACAGCACATCAAACAAAGTATGGGAACACGAGTGAGCAATCTTTGATAAGAATTTTACAAAAGAAAAAGTTGTCTTTCTGACCCTATTAACCTAGAACAGAATAAAAAATGGCAAACAAATGTCAGCAGCCTGTGCCCATGTGTTTTTTCTAACATTTCTTGTGGGGGATACATTGTTTTCAATGTCACTGCTTTCAGTGGTGGTCTTAGGTGTAATTACTGTATCTTACACAGACACACACACAGACACACACACGCACATGCACAGAGTTCTGAGTCAGGGCCATAAATGAGTCATGAAGGAGAAATAAGGATCTTGACACAAGATTAAAGCTATGTATTAATCTTAGCTTGTGGGAGTGAATTACATTGGGATTACATTGTTTGTCTTAAAGGTGAGTTAATTCTAAACAAAATGAGTGCACAGTATATAAACAGAATGAGTACATAGTTCTGAATGATCTCAAAATGTATAATGAACTTGGTTACAAGTTTATGCAAAAGTTCAGTTCAATTTGTAAGGCCTTGTTACAAGACTCATTTTCAGTGTGTGTGTGTGTGTGTGTGTGTGTGTGTGTGTGTGTGTGTGTGTGTGTGTGTTGTGAGTATAGGCATATGTGTGGCATGTGGTAGTCAAAGACAACTTTCAGGACTTGGTTCTCTCCTTCTGTGTGTCCTGAGGATTGAACTCAGGTCATCAAGCTTCTGTGGCAAGTACTTTACCTGCTGAGCATCTTGCTGGCCCAATAATTTTAACAATGCAAATAATTTCATTAGGGTTTTATGTAAGCAAATATGAAAGATAAAATGCTAAATGCCTGAAAATGTTTGTTGAAGCATTGGTTATAGTTCTAAATATGTGCAATAGCACATTGAGATTGCTTCTTAAGTTAAGTTTTAGTAATGTTTCTTTTAGACAACAAATCGATGGATTTTGTTTTTTAATCCATTCAAGTAGTCTGTGTCTTTTGATTGGGGAGTTGAGGCCATTGATATTTAGTTATTATTGAAAGGTATGAATTGGTTACTGTCATTTTATTTTCTGTTTTAGTCTTACCTTGTGTTTCTGTACTTTATACCTTCATTTTTTTTTCTTTCTGTAATCTCTTGAATATGATTATTTCTTTCTTCAGTCCTTTGTGTTTTTTTGAGTATTCTCTGTAGAGCCAGTTTGGTGGACATGAATTCTTTCAACCTATTTGTATCATGGAAGATTTTTCTTTTCCCTTCTGATACTGTGAGAGATAGTCCTCAGGGAGGAGGCTTCCAAGTCAGTTCCAACTTATTTTCCCCAAGTCCTATGTCCAGTATGTGTGGTGTCTTCAGCAATTGGGTCTTACCTTAAAGTTTTGAGAGGCAATCAAGAATTTTAAAACTTTAAATAGGGAAAATGTTGAAAACAGATGAACTTCCTTTCTTATTTTCAGAAAGTGTCTGACTACTGATTCTTCTATTAACCACTACCCACCTACCCACCTACTTATTTTCTTGTTGGAATACTTAAAAGCAAATCCTAAAACTCATGTTCTATAACTTAATAATTTAGCATAGATGATCTATAACTGTTATGGCTTCAAAAGCTGTCTACTCTCTTTAAAAATATTATTATTTATGTTTTGAGAAGTTCATGGAATGAAATTTGAATATATACACTTCCTCTTTTCCTACCTACCCTACTTTGTGTCCTCTTTTTTTTAAACCCACTGAGTACAATTTATGCTGACCATATACTCTTGGGTACCAGGGGCTACATCCTTAAAGAAAATGGACTCTCCCTCTCCCAGAAGCTATCAGTTGCCAATAGATTCTCAGATGGGTGTGACTTCTTGCCTCTTCCTCCCACTCCATGTTGACATTTTATATGGTTTGAGCTTGCACAGCTCTTATGCATACTGCCATAACAAATGTGAGTTAGTATATGGATTTTCCCTGTTGTGTTCAGAAAGCACTGTTTCCTCATAGTCATCCACAACCTCTGACTCTTCCAATCTTTCTGCCCTCTCTTTGGTGACAATCCCTGAGCCTTTGGAGGAGGGATTGTGTAATATATGTCCTATTTAGGGCTGAGCATTTCACAATTTTTTATTCTCTGCACCTTGGCCAGTTATGGGTCTCTGTATTAATCGCCATCTACTACAAAAAGAAGCTTTTGCAAAGAGGATTGAGAGATGTACTAATCTATGGGTATATTGATAAGCCATCAGGAATTGGTTTAGTACTTTGCCTATCTAGCAGAAGAAAAGTATGTTCTCCCCTAGGGCCTATGACAGTCTAGCCATATGGTCTTCACTTAGGTAACATAGTTGCATATTGTCACTCAAATGCTACATTCAAATATCTTTAAAACTTTTCAAAAAGTCATTTACTTGATTAGTTTGAATTGGGATTCAAACATGGTCTATGTATTGAATTTGGCTATTTCATTTCCCAGGTTTTCAAAATTCTATTAAGGTTCTTCAGTTGGTTTTTTTTTTTCATTGATTTGTTATGAAATGAAAATGTATAGTCTCTAAAGTGCCCTATATTCTTGGTTTGCCTGGATGCTTGTTCATGATAATGTTTAACTTATTTCTTGACCTCACTTGTCTTTTATTTTCTAGAAATTATTAAGTAAGACATATTTTCTTGATGATGTTTAGATTAAATTCTGGTAAATTTGAGGACAAGAATAAATTACAAGTGGTGTGGGGTATATGCACTGTATGTTTCTTATAGAATCATAGCCAAGGGTATGTAATGGATTGATTAAACCATGGGCTTCAAGCATGTCAGACTTGTGTGTATATATGCATACATATATAATGTTTTTAGAGGCAGGGTCTCACTTTAGCTCAGTCTGGCCTGGAATTCACTATGTATGTAGTCCAGGGTGGCCTAGAACTTACAGTGACTTTGTCTAGCCTCACAAGTGCTGGAATTACAGGTGTGAGCCAAAATACTTAGCTTATAATTAAATTTAGATTTAAACTATATTCATGACATTTTCCCCATTTCTAGATTAAAGAGGAATTCATTCATTTTTAATTCAAATATTTTTGTGATTTGAGTTATTCAGATCTTAAATCCATTTGCTAGTTGCTATTTAGTACTCTTTTTTTTTTTTTTTTTGGTGTTTTTGACGGGGTCTCTCTGTAGTCACAGCTGGCCTGGAATCACTATGAGGAGACCAGGCTGGCCTTGAACTCAGATACCTGCCTGCCTCTGCCTCCTGAGTGCTGGGACTAAAGGTGTGTGCAACTCACTGTGTAGACCAGGCTGGCCTTGAACTCACAGAGATCTGCCTGTGTTTGCCTCCTGAATGCTTGGATTAAAGGCATGTACCACCATGCCCTACTTTTACTAGTATTTTGTTAAAAATATTAGACCTTTATTCTAGATGCTTTTAAATACTGGGGCTATAATGGTGATAAGAGCAATGGTATCTTATTTCTCTCAGAGCTAATGTGCAATAAGGGAAGGCAGATCATAAGATAATGTCAGATTTGTAAAGACAATGAAGAAAGATGAATTGACAAAGAACAACTGGAGAGATGGAGGTCTGATAAGATGACCATTTGAGCTGAGTCTTAAGTCACAAGGAGAGGGGAGTTGTATCAATGTCAGGGGCCAAACTTTCCAGGTCAAGGAAACACTTTGTATCAAGGTGCTGAGGAGGATAATACCCCTTAATACCTCTACTGTGATTCAGGTACAATGATGAAATACCTACCTACATTATCTCCTTTATTTCCCCAGCAACCCTTTGACATAGCATTTTGAACATGGGGACCATGAGGTTGGTAGAGGTTCCGATACTGGCCTCTTGTCTGCCTTTCATGTAGCTTTAAGGACTCAAATTGCAGCTATGAATATGATTTTATCTCTCCAGGGTTCCATGAAAAGGAGAAGAAGCCATATTGCCGAAAGGATTTCTTAGCTATGTTCTCACCCAAGTGTGGTGGCTGCAACCGCCCAGTGTTGGAAAACTACCTTTCAGCCATGGACACCGTCTGGCACCCAGAGTGCTTTGTGTGTGGGGTCTGTATGCTCAGTTGTCTTTGGATTTAGGGAAATCCAAAGGGGACTCTTCTCTGGGAGGACTAGCTGCTCTAGTGAGAAGGTTCATGGCCCTGAGTAAGGATTATTTTGGATTCTTAAAAATGTACATCTATTGCAGACATTTGCTGGTTTTTTTTTTTTTTACAAATGAATAATCTAGCCTCCAGTTATTAAATATCTGAGTGAAATTCCTACAACTGGCAGGCTCCTAGCAGGGATTTTGAGGACCGACATTTTATTTGGTGGCATCTTGTCTCTTGATGTACACATTTCCTTTTGTCTGTCTTCTTTCCATCCTTAGGACTGTTTCAGCAGTTTTTCTACTGGCTCCTTCTTTGAACTGGATGGACGTCCGTTCTGTGAGCTCCATTACCATCAGCGCAGAGGGACCCTGTGCCGTGGCTGTGGGCAGCCCATCACTGGCCGCTGCATCAGTGCCATGGGGCACAAGTTCCACCCCGAGCACTTCGTGTGCGCTTTTTGTCTGACGCAGCTGTCGAAGGGCGTCTTCAGGGAGCAGAATGACAAGACCTACTGTCAACTCTGTTTCAATAAGCTCTTTTCTCAGTAATCTCTGCTGACCCACACCTGATTCTCAGTGCCTATACAATTTAACAAAGACAGGAAAGCCGACCCTTTCTGTCCTTTCTGTTGCTGACCTTCTGCCCAGTGGCTGGTTCAGAATGTAAAAGTGCTGAACAAATAAGGCGATTTCTACGTGTAGTTCGGCTTATAACCTTATTTCTGAGGCTTCTTGTTTTAATATTTTTAAATTAGGTATCTTCATTTAGATTTAGGTCATGCTACCCTGTCCCTTTGAAGATGCACTCTCCACATGCACAGTTCATTACTGTTTTTCTCTCTCCCTTTTCACCTCTACTCATGGACCTACTCAGATCTTTGGTTGTGGGCCCCAGAGCCATTCTTCAAGATCCACCATTCACCTGGCTCACAGTGCCCTAACCACACTTTCTCCTTACTGTGAGGAGTTGGTACTGACACAACTCTTAAGCTCTATGCATCCCTCACAGTGTGTTTACCTTTTTTTCAAAAGGAAGTAGATTTTAACTGACATCCTTGATAAATAAAATGGCTTGTGGTTTGGATGACTCACTGTCATCGTCATTTGGTAGATAAACTTCTGCTTCCTGTGTTATATACTAGGCAGTTTTTAGAATTGAATCTGCACTCTACCTCTTCTTTCCTTGTCTACAACGGACGCTTCTTTCATTTAATCAGAAGACATTCAAAGAAGAGATTCATGCTGATAATGCTTCTCTTTAGTTTGGGCCTATGACCATTTTTTTGTTGTTGTTATTTTGGATTTAGATCATTGAATCATCTTAAAAGATAGAAAAGCTTTTAAATTTGTTTTCATCACTTTGTTTAAATAAAGAGAAAAGCTGGCTATCATTAAGTACCTTACAAATGCCTTTCTAAAGTGAAAAATGATGTGTTACCTTCAAACTCAAAATTGTCTCATGAAGACAAATGGCAAATGTCATAGCACACAGCTTCTCTGAAGAAACATATACAAAAGATTAAATGATTGTCTTCTAGTTTGGACAGGAAGGCCAAGCCAGAAAGAAA